TAAAGTACCATGATGTTAAGGAAAAAAACAAAAACAAAAACTTTTCTGGTTTTCAATTCATGTAATATTCAGGGAAAGACAATGCCCGTTTCTGTCTTGGTAGTTGTGGGTAACATATATTGGGCCTGCAGTTTTCTAATATTCTTGGCAATTGCTTCCTGGGTAATCCATTTCACTAAGAAATATAAATTAATATTACTAAATAGTAAGGATCCCAGTAATAATGTGCACCTGTTTTAGTCACCCAAAACCAGTAAGTAGGTGGTAAGAAACCATGAGAACTCATTAAAAGCATGTGCTTGGTGTTTTGTGAATATTTTTATACACTAAGCAAATGGCTTGAGGTGACCAAACCAAGACCAAAAATAATTTTGAAATAGTTACCTACCTTTTCAGTTAAGCTTTTTAATCCAAGATGATTTGTTCACTTTAAAAAAAGAGTGAGCTCCCTCGGCATGAGAGGGTGAAACTTTTCATCACTTCCCCATCATCGGAAAATAAAGTTAGATACATCATCATATCTATCTTAAAATAATAACCAGGACAAGAAGTGATAGAAAAGGTTCACACTTGATTTAAAAGGAACACTGTAATTTATAAAGATTTCTCTTGTACAGGGGAGCCAGGAACAGAAAGAAAAAGGCAAAATGGGAAGGAAAATAGAACCATGATGACTTTTCAACCCTCCAGCAGGGAGTTTAAATTGTTTTGGGGAGCAGAATGTCAAAATCTGAGGGGTTGAATTTTTCCCCTACCTTGTCTGAGAGAATTGAATCATTGGGTCACAGCCAAATGAAGTTGAAATTGTTTATTAGCAAGACTGCTACTGCTTGCACAGATCACGTAAGGGTCTGCTGATGGTCCTAGTGTCTTTTGTATCTTTCCACATCAGATGATTTCAGTTCAAGCCATTTGCTTTGGATAAAGATGATAAGGGGCGGCAGTCGAAAAATAACAACAATGGAAGTCTGCAATGATCACCACAGGCAATGGGGCAGTTGCAAAGAAAAGAATCACAAACCAAAGCAATAACTTACGGTAGCTACTCTCGCTATCGCTGGCATTAGAAGAAACATGTTCTGCAAGAACAGCACAGCAAATTAAAGAGATACCAAGCATTGGAGAGCAGCCAGAACTTAAAGGAGTACACTCATGCAAAGCTACTAGAAATGTGAGCAAAAGGCAAGTGAAAGGCCACAGAGGAGACTTCCTTAAGAAAACCCATAGATAAGATAAAGAAGATGAAAACTTTATCTCTGTTTCAGAAGGACCTACTACCTGACTGCTGCATCTTCTCTTTAGCAAATAAGGAAAATATCTTTAATTATAACAAAGTATACCGAAGTATAACAAAGACATTTTCTTCATACACATACTTTGACCCATTCATTTAGCTCTGATTTTCCAGGATCACGTAACAAAGGCCAGTATGTCTTGGCTAGATACTTTTTGGCTCTAAGTTCAGGAGCTTCTGGTGTGTAGGCACTGTTTTCTTGCAGGCTTTTCTGTTTCACTATTTTAGCCTTTGGGCATTTTGCAGGAACATTGCATTTCAAAGCATCAGTGATTCCTGAAATCCCTTGAATTTTATTTCTATTTAAATACTTCCTAAATTAATCTTCAGGATGAAAAGGGGATTGTTGAAAACTTTACCTGCTTCAGTGAGTGAGTAGAAAGTCTTGGAGGAAGAAATGAGTCACTGAAGACTGTTTTATGAATCAATTCAATATTTTTTTGTTTTTATTTTAAGGTCCTCACTTGGGTAGCTATTGGGTTTCGGAGGAATGGAACAGGCAGGAGATAAATGGCCTGATACCAAGCATAGGTCCTGGTGCAAAGTATGTTTTTAATTCATTTAATTCATGGTGGATACCTTGATTGTGTGGTGATATTCCAAATTGGCTTTTCATAAAATACAGTTTAGTTAACATAATAGGACCATAGTGGTTATGTGCCAGAGAAAAGAGTTTTTCTTTCCAACCAACATCATTGCCTTTCATCTGTACTACAAATTTATAGAAGATAAACTCATCAGCTTATCAAACTTTGTATATCAAGTTATAGACCAGGTAACAATGTGATTTCCGAAGCTCATTAGCAGTAATGTCTGTCAGTTTTTAAAAAATAGTGACAACTGTTGTACATTTCTAGAAGGAGAAAAATATATAACATTATTCTCTAACTGTTAAAAAAAGAAAAGTGCCTTGAAATGTATTTGATAGTATAGATTCTTGCCAATTGGATCAATTAATTTTACATCATGAAACTAATGAAAACCAAAGCATGGGTTAAATCCACATGAGTCATTTCTCTTTGTGTTGGTGATCTATGACCTGAACTGCATCACTAATTTAGGTAAACATTTTATAAATGCAAAGGGGCACTAGGGAAAGAAGTGGGATGGATCAGTGCAGATTTGTTTTCTGTTATTTATTATCTTAAATACCTTGAATTGGGGATGATAGAATTTTTTTTTTTTTTTAAATTTTTTACTGTTTAGAATGGCGCTATACTATTTATGGGGAAATAGAAACATGCAGTGCTTGATTTAACAACCAATCTTTTTTAGTGTCTAGATATTGTGTAACAGAATTTTTCCATTTTGTAGGTAGAGAGAAATTTAAAATATAATTTAAAATATGTTCCATCTAAAGTCCAAATTGTGGCTAACAATAGCATTAATTGGCAAGTAACTTTACCTAGCAAAATCTGTTCAGTTTTTAAAGAGCAAACAAACATGTGCACATTCTGGATTTAAAAGGGCATCACTCATATTTTTGACACTCCAATAGCAACTGCTTTTTAGTGATGTTCATTTATTAATAATATATTAAAATGCTTTTGTTTCCCCTCACATTGAAAATTTACAACTCTCTCTGTGCTTGAGGCTATCCAGATAATGTTAGAATCAGTACTTGAACTTTAGCCACGTATTTAAGAAATAGTTCATGACATATTTCATGTAAACAGACTCAAAAGATAAAGTTTTCATCTTTAAGAAGATCAGCAGTTATTCTGGATCTAATTTTGTTCTCTCTCTTACATAAGCAAATACGTGTAATTGAACAATTAGAAGGATGAAGAAGATCATTACACAGCTCTTGCAAATAAAATCCAGCTCAATGCTATTTTGTTTTACACAAATGAAATGAACAGCTTCTAAAAATATTGCCCATAGCTGTTAAAAAAAAAAGACAAAAAAACCCAGAAAAACCAATGAACATGTGACACAGTTGCAAAAGACACAAAGCTCTGTTCTTATTTCATTGGTGTCTACACAGTGGAGTTAGTATTAAAGAAAGAAAAAATCACAGTATATTCATACATGGGAATATTATTTTGTAATTGCTCGATGCAATGAGACACAAACTAAAGGCATTAACAACTAGGGAATTTAAAGGTTTAATGTATTTTATTTTTTACTACATACTATAAAATTATAAAATAAAAACTTGATTATGCAATGCAGCTAAGATATCATTGATAGACAAACATTAATACATATCTAAAACTGTATCATACAAACGTTTCAAGCAGGATCACTGCAAGTCAGAAAAAAAATCAATCAAAGTTAGATAACAAAGAATTATTCATGGAAGATCAAATAAGTTAATATTTACTTTTTGAGAATGCATGTTCCTTTTGACTGTACAATAGCTCCTTTCCTAATAGCAAGTACAACCCAATTATGGAATTTGGCAAGGTCCTTAAATATTTCCGTGTGAAAAGGCAGAGGAACATAAACGACATTTCTACTTTCCTGTTCTAGAACGTTTAGCTCACCCTTTCTTTCAACATGGTTTCTTGCTCTCTGGCAGGTATTAGGCGGCAGAGCAAGTGATGCTACAGCTGGCATCAGGACCATGTTGATCATAACACACGGTCAGAAAGGGAAGGTGTTAACTGCAACAGAAGTTAAGAGTGCCTGACACACTTTGCTTTTAAATGCTGACATGCAGAACAAAACGATTGAAAATTACTTCGTAGGAGCATTCACAGCTAAGTAACAAATAAAACTTGTATCTTGTGCATGCTAGGAGTGAAAGTTCCTCAAGAAAAGGAACAAAAGCCAAACTCAAAAGGAAAAGAAAAGAAAAGTTACAGTGACCATTCCTGGGAACTTACTCAGAGTCTTTGTTCCATAACCGTCGTCACCTAATCCGGGGATGTCCTGCATGGAAGTCCCCAGAGAGAGCAATGAGAGAGGAAGAACAGCCACGGAAGAGGAAGGAAGAAGTCAGTGGAGTTGAAACGGATACTACCATGACAGACTGTGTTGCCTAAACAATCTGGATCCCACTCTCTCTTCTTTTGAAACAACTTTCACCTCAAATCCCCTGGGCTGAGACTCAAGAAGGAAATTTCTTTTCTGATTTTGTAAAGCAACTCAAAAGGTTTAAACAGATTGTAAAATAAAGATTCAGCAAATGCAATTTTTGCCCACTGTCAGTGTTGCCACAGAAATATACTACTTAGAACAATGAACAGTTGATTCCAAATTTCAGGACACAGTCTTAGATTCAGCATCCACCAATACAAATTCACTGCTCAGCAAGTAGGTATTTAATGTTTGATGGGAGGGAAAAGAGTAGGCAAATATGCTAATAATTAGTGTAGGTAATTTAATCACTTCCAATTAGATAGCATTCCAAAAAAAATATATGTGCTGATGGAATTCAGGATTTCTGCCCAGAAAAGAATTTGTCTCAAGCCTTAGAGAGTTATATGATTGAAAAGGCAAACCAGACTCAGTGCTGGCTGGAAACGAAGTCCCATTTCCCACAAGTCCCTCTCCAATGCATTCTGCAAAGAAAAGCCACATCAAGGGAAGGATCCAGACTGCAGTCAAACACTGGTCACAGTAGTAAGACCTGACCTGCCTGCCTGCAGTGTTTGTTTGCCTAGGTGTGTGGAGTGGGAGAGCCTATATCATGCGTGTTGCCCATGAAGGATTTTTTCTCTTGTGTTGCATGTGACATTATCTTCGAGAATCTACTTACGTTCAGGATCACTGGTTTCCTGCTCACTCTGCTCCTTGTTCTTGTAGAATGGGAATTTTCGTGAAAAGATGAAGCTCTTTTTACGCTTGTCATTGAATGACTGTGAAGGAGAAAAGGCATGGGGCAAAAACAGGGGACGTCTAATTGTTGTCACACTCATGCTGACAAAACAACTAGTCTGTAAAAGCAGAGAGAGCTGTTGTGACGCAAGTGGATACTCTGAAGAGGTGCCAGGGGGTCCCGAACGGTCAGATTTTATTTTCAAGGAGTGTAAATTCTGAATGATGACACCTTAGATAAATTGTCTCCTAAATACACGACTGGTTGTAGATAGATTGCGATGGAGGAAGAGGGTCTTAAATTGGAGGCAGAAGACCCAGAGTCTCCATCCAGGCTCTACAACTTGCTAGCCTGTGACCTTAGACGTAAATGAATCTCTCTGAACCTCAGTATCTTCACCTACAAAATGAGGATAATGATAGCAGCTCTTAGATTATGAGTCTCACATAAGACAATATAAACGTAAAGTGCTGTACAAATATCATCCTTATCATTATCATCAGGTAGAAAAGACCTTATCAGGGAAACTAGTTTTCTTCTCAAGATGCCTTTTTTAAATACCTAGAATTCGGGTTACTTCAGCTTAGATTTAATTAAAATTGCACAGAGCCGTGTGTAGATTTATGATATATGATAATTATAGTATCACACACAGGTATATGATAATTATAGTGTTATAACATTTTTATTCAAAGGATATTTTAAAGGCAAATTAGCCCCAAGCCTCCATTTTGTAGACAGAGAGTCAGAGGCACAGAAATGTTGAGCCCCTTGCTAATATCACAGAGCTAGTTGGTGACAGCTGGGTGATAGCCAACCAAAATCAGTTGAGATTGCTCATCTATATTACGACAAGATGAAAATAACATAAGGACTGTCTTTAAAATATAAACCAGTCACTTTAAACTAAATTTTAAAAATGTGTGTGTATAACATATATATAAAACCTTATTCATTCAAGTGAGTATCATGTGCTTGTCGAGAAGACCCCTTAAGAAAACCCCATTTGCTCTGCTGCTGTTATCATGCAAATGTTTTGTGGGGTTCTTTTTTTGAGAAATATGTTCACAGTTGTATTACAAGCTATAGGCCATGCAAGTCTTACTAATCTCTTATATCATTTTAAAAATAAGTTTCACCAGCTTGATTACAAGACTTATTTGGTTCTGAAGGTCTTTTAGCCGCTTAACAAAATTAAAATCACTTTCTAAGAAACAAGATTTGCTATTACATAGGTATTAAAATGAATGAAATGAATGTGCCAAAGACTCTGAAGGGAGCTTGAAAGGGGGCATTCTAAAACAGTCTTGGCAATGGCACCTGTAGGAATAAATGTAGAGCCGGCAGGGTGACTACTCAGAAGGAAGAGTAATTGTTTGGATGTATGTATTTGGGTCAGTGGTGGAAATCCATGCCTTTTCTTATGGATTTGAAGCTTGACACGATGGTGTTAATGACTTATTTTCTTGGTATACTCATGTACTCCTGTATTACGTATCGCTTTTGGTAATTGTGTTCATTTAAGAAACACTAAAGTACTAACATGTCATTCAGCAACTCCTTGCTTTTGTAGATAGTAGGAACTTTGACCAAACTCATTGGAGCGTAATAAAAAAAAATACACCAAATATTTATTAATTTCTGAAATTAGGGGCCAAATTTGATAATTCATATTCGAGGACTGAAAAAAAAAATGTTATCAGGGAAAAAAAGAAGTATCACTTAAGAATTTATTATTCTGCTGACAGTCCCCATGTTCAGTATAACTCGTTGCCATCAAGTCGATTCTGACTCAGAGCAACCCTACGTCATGTTAATCATAATTTGTAATTAAGGATTAGTGTCCAAAGACAAGGCTGGAAACTCCCCCCAAATTTTCTGCATTAAAAAATGATAGGTCCTTAAAGGAACATTAATTATTCTTGCATCACTCCAGTTTCATGCCACTTTTACATTTCAAGCATATTTAAACTTCAGTAACTGAAAATAAACGAAAAAAAAAATCATGGAAGAATTAATGACACGTGATATTGCAAGGTATGTTAGACATTTAACTTCAACATTACAGATGACTTGTCATGCAAAAGTAATACAAATTTTCATGCAAATACAAAACAGTGTGAAGAGGAGTAAAGCCTGCAGTTAAAATGTAGACGCAGACGGACAATGTCAAGGACTCTGGGGGCCCCAAATGAGGCTGCATGCAAACCACATCATTTACATTGTCTCACGGGGTCAAAGGAAAATGAAAATGTGTTGTCTGTGATTAAATCTTTTTATCTTTTCAAAGCAAGAATGTAATGTGTTAACATTTCCCAAGTATGAAAATGTTGTGTATGATGAATCATCTGATTGGGACATAATACTGAACAGCACACTTTTTAAAAGAACAGAAAATACATAATAATATCTCAAAAATAAAATGATCTAACATATCAGTCATATTATCAAAAGTCATTTTCTATTGGAAGAAAAGGCAGTGGAATTGGTGCTTAAACTTCCTTCGATTTACGGACACAAAATAAAATCACGACTTCAATTTATACTCCACAGAGTTAAAAGCCACATCTTTAAAGGGTCTTAGTTAAACATTTCAACTATAAGGGGATATATCTGGTTCATAATGCTGTAATACTATTTTTTTATTGGATATGTATAATACCATTATATAAGCATCTTTGCTACTGTAATTTTTTCTTTTAGAAAAGCAAAATCTGTTACACGAGTGTTAGGTGAGAATAATAAATTAGCACTTTTACTATTTATGGAACACAGGCTTCTAAAGCAACGGAGGACTGGCTTACAGCTCTATTCTTAATCATACTTGATCAATCCTATTCTTTCTGTTTCTACATTACAGTATCTTAAATCCCAATCCATTGCTTTCATGGGAGGAATCTTTAGAGAACAGGAACTTCTTTTAATAATGGGAACTTCTTTTTACTAGAGATTCTGAAAATACCAATCATATGTGGTAAGGGGCAAGTTGGCATGTCTAAGAATTTCATTTTGGAATTTGACTTGAATCTTTGAATTTTTATGAATAAACGCTTTAACAACACCAATCGAGCACTTCTTGTGTGCCAGGTATGGTTCTAAACGCTTTCCATGGGCTAATCTTCATGCTAACTCCATGAGGTTGGTATCATCATTATTCTAATGTTGCCAGTGAGGAAATTGAAGTTTACAGATTTTCTGTCACTTGCCCAGAGTCACACAGTTGGTGATGAGTGGAGTCAGGATTTGAATTTGCAAATATCCCTAGTTGTAAATATTACTGATCTTATGAGTAAGAGAAGTTTCTGCAACCTAAGCTGCTTTAAGCTGTTGTTTAACATTAGACTCTCTGAAATGATACCACACTCTGTCATCGTCCCAGTAGCTTATTGCTTGGCAATTATTTAGTTGAGCGCTCAGATGCCATCAGCTTCAGTAACATCTTTGTTGGTTGTCTTGTTGCATTTTTTTTGTTGCTATCCATTCATATTTTTAGGACTCCTTTCTATTTTTCTTGCTCTTATGATAATATAAAAGAAAGAATTTCAGCGGAATAGTCTACAGATAGCAATTCAAAGACAGTTTTCCAGAAAAGGCAAATTTATAGAGACATAAAGTAGATTAGTGGCTGCTTAGAGATAGGGGCAGGATGTTGGGGGAAAGGAGAATGATGGCTAATGAGTACGGAGTTTCTTCCAGGGGAGACAAAAATGTTCTAAAATTAGATTATGATAAAGATTGCATAATTCTGTGAATATACTTAAAAGACATTGAATTGTGCACTTTAAGTGGGTGGACTGCAGAGTAGATGACTTATGTATATCTCAATATTGTAGTTTTTTTTTTTTTTTTTTTTAAAAGGGAACTGCTTCTCAGTTGTAAACCATGGGATGAGGGGAAACAGCTACCACATGTTTACAATGTTATTTGGTGTAAACATTTTGTGTCTTTAATTAAATGAATACCTTTCATGTTGTGACAGACATTAGAACACCCAAACATTTCCAGCTTGTTGGTCAAGTGTCATGAAACTGCCCAGTTTAACCTCGAGATATAATGACATTGGTGAACTGGCTTAAGATAAAGTACACACTTCATTTTGAAAGGAAGCAAAACAAAACCTCAAATCATCTTCTCTCCAACTGAAAGTCTATATTCATAAAGACATGTGAGTGAATCTTGGCATTAAATTTTTACCCTTTTTTAACATAGAAAACTTTAAAACCAGGGGCATGTTTTAGTTTTTCTTCTTATCTTCCTGTTTCTAATTTTTCAATTTTAAAATGTTTCCAATTTCTAAAATGTCACCTTGTTGACACTCTGTCCAGAATTTGGATTTAAATTTATAATGAGCTCATATATACTTTTTTTGTGGCTTCCTTATCTTTTACAGACGTTTCTTTCCTCTTAATTCTTACTTATCTCACCTCCTCTAAAATAAGTATGTTCCCCTTGGAAAGTTATTACTATAAACTTGAGTCCCCACTTTGTATTATACATATCTTGTTTTTATACAGAAAAAAATTAAAACGAGAGGTTCAAGAACAAGTAATGAGACAAAGAAGGTGTTAAGGGAAAGACAACAGTTGGCTTAAGATACTGTCTGTTCCTAGAAATGTGTCTGTATGAATGTGTGTATACATATATGTGTTTGTTGTGGTTGTTAGGTGCCATCGAGTTGATTTTGATTTCAACTGACAGCGACCCCATGTGACAGAGTAGAACTGTCTCATGAGGGTTTTCGAGGCTGTAATCTTTACGGAAGCAGATAGTCAGGTATTTCTCCTGCGGAGCTGCTGGGCAGGTTTGAGGCACCAACCTTTCCATTTGTAGCCGAGTGCTTAACCATTGTGCTATCAGGGCTCCTTATGTGTTTTTAACATTGCCCAATTCAAAAGGAGTTCTTTTGCAATCCTAATGAATGAATGGATCTAGGCATTGAGCATCAACAACTGCTAAACATCACAAAAAAGCGATAGATGTTATATGTTATATGCGTCCTGATGGAAGAGGAAGAACAAAGCAGTACCTACAACTAAACTT